ATGTAAGACTGAAGCTTCATAACATCTTTTGTATTCTTAAAGGCACCTTTTGCCATCGCGGCTTTTGTTCCAGAAACTCGTCTTCCAAATAACGTGTTGTCCATTTGTGTTTGTGATCTAAGAACTAAGGAACTCCAACTTCCTTTTAAAACCTTATGGTTGGGGCATAGTAAAGAATAGAATAGTTAGAGACAGCTTGGTTTGCCTATAACGTCACCTAGGTAACCGAAACTGCCTCTATTATGTTACATTCATGAATCAATTTTTCAATAAAAAAGTAAATCGAATAAATAAATGAATAAGTCTCTGATCAAAGGGGAATTCTTATTTTAAGCAATGAAAAGGACAACGGTTCAGCCACGTATTATTCTTGGCATTTCAAGGGATTGTCGTGAAATACATTTCCTCGGCTCGGGCGTAATGTTTTCCCATTTCAGACTACGTGTCATTCCCTAGAATATCATTTATTTCTTTAACGCTTGCGCTCGTTTGCACATGATGAGGCACATGAACATTGATACAACTCAAACAAAGAGTCTTATTCTCAAGGGAATGACACGTGGTCTGAAATGGAAAAACATTACGGCGAGCCGAGGAGATCTCACCCCTATTGGTAAATCTACCAAACTACGTAACTTTAACTGATTCCATTGAGTTGAATCGAAGCATGCTACAAGTTCACGGTCCTAAACAAGAAAGTAGTCAGTTTTCCATTTTCATCGTTTTCTGTGCCAATCACTTAAGAAAACATTTCGTTTTCTAGACGTTAAAAAAATGGAAAAACCTGAGACGTCTGGGCAAAAATGAATCTTAAAGAAATAAAATTATTTGCGTGGAAAAAGCCTGCTAGGAAAAAAAACTGACAAAAGAACCCTTGACTGAAAAAAGTAAAGATTTTCGGAGACGATGAAAAAAGCAAGAAAATTCTGGTAAAGTTTAGCTTTATTTTCAGTATCTAGATATTAATATAAAAATAAAACAAATATAACGGTGATTAAAGAACATGACCAATATTAGTATTTGAAAAACACTTCGCGGTTAAGTGGCTCAGTATATTCGCCGGTATTTCAAGTTTATTTTTTCACACAACTATCTAAAATAACTTCTGCAGTTATGATACCATAATATGGAAGATGTTCCATCATAAATAATTTTATAGTTCGGTGTAGGAAGGTCTAATATTCAAAACTTGAATTAAATATTTTTTTTTACTGTGTAAAACATCCCATACTAACAATACCTGTCTTTTTCAAACAACTATCTAAAATAACTTCTGCAGTTATGATACCATAATATGGAAGATGTTCCATCATAAATAATTTTATAGTTCGGTGTAGGAAGGTCTAATATCCAAAACTTGAATTAAATATATTTTTTTACTATGTGTAAAACAGCCCATACTAACAATACCTGTCTGTCTATCTCRCTCGTTCCAAAGTGCTCGGATTTGTTTATAGTGTTGGGATTTTATTCTTTAGTTATAGTAATGTGATGACTTGAGCTGCAATTCTTCCTATAGAAAGTCTTTCGTATTCGTTTAAACAAAAATTACTATTCTTTACTTTACTCCTAAAATTTCTATTCATTATGTAGTCAGCAAGACAAAGGATTAACCAGCGTCTTGACTTATCTTTATATGCCTTACATAAGAGATGTTAATGTTAAACTGACCGCTACCTGTTTAAGATGAATACTATGGGGAAGTATAAGTTATAATAGTAACTGAACACCGGTAATGATCTCTCTTCTTTGTACTTGAATATGCATGGATTGTGAAGATTATTTCTTAAAGTTTGTTATGTTTAGTTTTCTCTTAGGAATCGTGATGTAACTTTTTTCGACAAAGCAGGATTTGTATAAAAAAATCGCACGATCTCGAGTACAATTCGTAATGATAGGTACGAGTGATGCTTTGAAAGTTTTCAAAATTGGACGAGCCTTTTAGGGGAGTCAATTTGAGAACTTTCAAAACATCAGAGTATCTATAAATTCCGAATCGTATGAGAAGATTGTGTGATTTTTTGTTTATAATACACTCAAAAAAATTGAGCAATTTAATTGGGACTCTACAGAGTACAATTTGGGATTTAATTGTGCCTCTTGTCCATCCGAATCATCGAGTAATTTTGTAAAGTGTATTATAATGATAAATATTGTCTTTCGAGGCGTTTCCTTGGTACGAGTTCATATTTCTTATCTTCCTTTTCTTCTTCGTCGTCATTTTCTTCTACATGTTCTTTGTATCAGTTCTTGCTCTTGTTAGTCTTGTTCTTCTAGTTGTTCTTGGTCGCATTTATATTCCTTCTGGGTAAACTTCCTCGTGCTCTTTTCTCTCGTGCTACATTTTTTCATTCTTTTTCTTAATTAAGGTTTACCAAAAATAGCTATAAAGCTGCGGTTCTTTCAAGTTTCGAATTCTGGCAAATTAGTTATTGTACAGAAGCTATCTATCTATGATCAACAATCACTGGTTACTGCATGATTCTCGTCAAGGCAAGTCCTTGATAAACTCATAACAAAATGAATTCCTTGAGTTAAAAAAAAACTATGCAACAATGCATAAACCAATTTCAGTTACATGCTTTTAGTGGGACTTGTTGCTGTTTCAAAGTCATTATAGACTTCACAAAACACTGATGCATCGCAGAAGGATCGGGGCATCAAGACCATTGAGCAGTAGGGTAGCAATAATACAAAGCAACGAAGCAGCCAAGGAGACAAGGGCGACAAGGCAGCTAAGAACAACAGGGTAGCTGAAGAAACCTTGGCAACAGGGTACCTAATAACACTAGAGCAACAGGACTGCTAATGACAGCGGGACAACTGGGTAGCTGAAGAAACCTTGGCAACAGAGTACCTAATGACGGAAGGGCAACAGGACACCAAATGACACCAGGGCCACAGAGCAGCTGAAGACACAATGGTAACTGGGTAGCCCTGAAGACACCATGGCAACACAGGGTAGCTGAAGACATCATGGCAAAAGGGTAGCTGAAGACATCATGGCAACTGAGTAGCCCTGAAGACACCATGGCAACAGGGTAGCTGAAGACATCATGGCAACTGGGTAGCCCTGAAGACACCATGGCAACATAGGGTAGCTGAAGACACCATGGTAACATTGTAGCYAAAAACGCCATGGAAACAGGGTAGCTAAAGACAAAATCATGGCAACGCAGTTTACTAAAGACACCATGTTAACAGAGCAACAGAGCAACAGCTAAGGACACCAGGGATTCCAAAGAAGATTAAGAACAATGGAACAGATGCAACAAGGCACGACGGGAATATGTTCATGAAGGGCAACAAGACAACCAGGTCATTATTTAAGACATAGAAACAGTAGATTTAAACAGTGATTAGATCAAAAGACAACAGGGCAAAATAAGATCGGAACATATGAACACCAAGCAAGCAATAGTAAAATAGGTCAACAATTCATATGAAGAATATTCAGTCCTTTGAGGCAACAAAAAATACAAAAAAATATGAAACGTTATTCAATTAGATTTACACTATACCTGCTTTTATCTATAAAATGCTGATTATCAATCCTGAGTTAATTTTACGCTTCCTTTTTTGTATTTCTGGATCAATTCCCTCCCCCCCCCC